AAAAATTGTGAATACTTTATTATATCATTTGAAATCTATAATAAAGATGCTAGAATCATCTTGCTATTTAAAAAAAGTTATTATCAGATTACATTTAAATTAAAAGTCAGAATTAGAATTATATAATGTCAAAATTAAAATTAAAGTTATAATCAAAACTTTTTAAATTGAAACTAAATATTAAATTTATATATAGTTTTAGCCAGAAACTAAAAATATAAAAGAAAAGCTTATTATTATTATTAGTTATTTATAGTGGGAGAAGAGCAATGTAAGACCAATTATTAGAACGATTCGATAATTTAAAGTAATAAAACACGATCAATGTGTAACCTATAGATATCACCGTCGTGGAAAATATCGGGATGATGATGAGCCGCGTTGAAGCCAATCAAACCGAACAGAGCGCTACTGATCAGCAGCATTATCAGCCACAGTTTGAATGCGACGAGAACTTTGGGCGCTAGCAAACTCATCGATAAAGGCAGCAGAAACGGCACAAAGTCACGAAATTCAAAGACTCCATATTCCTTGAATACCGAGTAGTATCTAGAAACGATTAAAACCTTTATTACAATATCGAGATTGTAAACGGAATTGGAATTTTGTCGGACGATTTCTTGGTATCAAGAAATATCGCAAGTATGTGCATATTGTAACGGTTCACCTTTCCCGTACGCCGCGGATCAAGGCTCGCCGGTGCCAGGATTCGGGAGAAGGGGGAAACTCCGACTTACTTTGCCTTGGTATAATCGGTTTAAACAAGTCCGTTTATTCAAGCGGTTAATATAAAAGATCTTTCACACTGAAAGCTATGTACAATGCGGCAGGCGGGAGTGATGCATACAGAAGTTTCGCGCGTGAGCGGTGGTTATTCATAAGGCGACATGCAAGCGCGATGCGTACAGAGTTTTGCGCGTGGAGCTCGGGAAGCGAGCGTGGCCCACACGGCCGTGTTCGGCAATCGCGAGGTTCGCATGCAAGCAACTGGGGTTATTCTAAGCGAAACAGACAGATCTTAAACCCTACGGGGTGCCGCGGGGCCTTCAACGCAATTCCAACTGCCTGACTGCCTTATCCTTAAAAGGACGGGGCGTCGGCGTTCTTGGCGTTCTATCCTTAGAAGGACTGACGCTCCGTAGTAGTTTGAAGGCCGTATGTGAAGATAGAAACGGCGCGACACTGGCGGGAATCCGAATGTCTAATTAACTCTTCAGTTAGAAGTCGCGGTATATACAATGCGGTCTTATAATACGAACAGGTCGCGGTATATGTACAACGGTATTACAATATAGCAGGTCGCGGTATATGTACAAAGCGGTACTAGAAGCTATTAGAGCGCGGAGACCAAAGCGGTCTTATGATACAAACAGGTCGCGGTATATATATAAAACGGTCTTACGGTATAACGCGGTGCGGACTTATCAACTAATAGGAGGCGCCGTCCCAGCAACCGGGAAGCCCGGCTTAACTACGGGAAGCCCGTAGCCTGGTGTAACGCGGGGTATCAGGATGCGCCGTCCCGGCAACCGGGAAGCCCGGCCTAACTACGGGAAGCCCGTAGCCTGGTGTAACGCGGGGTATCAGGATGCGCCGTCCCGGCAACCGGGAAGCCCGGCCTAACTACGGGAAGCCCGTAGCCTGGTATAACGCGAGGTATCAGGATGCGCCGTCCCAGCAACCGGGAAGCCCGGCCTAACTACGGGAAGCCCGTAGCCTGGTATAACGCGAGAGTCGGTTCAAGATCCGGAGAGTTGTACGTGACAGGAATCGGGATCGGGAACTGGTAACGCTACGCTCGCCGGAGCGCCTTATATACCGGCGGCCGGCCTCCCACTCACGCGAGTCGGCGCGTGGTGGGGCGGCCCCACGGTGGGGCCGAGACACGGGTGTGGAAGTTTAGAGGCGCCATAGGCGCCGAGCCTCAGAATTGCGGGCGGCTGGTCGGCCCGCAAGGCTGGTAACGTATCGTTACATCTTCACCCGATTAGATACATACGGGATCAAAATAAATCCAGCTAAATGTGTTTTTGAGGCAAAGCAAGTAAAGTTTCTCGGATATCTCGTGTCACAAGAAGGTACTAGGCCACTTCCGGAAAAAGTCGAAGCCATAAGAGACTTTCCAAAACCTAGCAGCATTAAACAAATGCGCCAGTTCTTGGGGATAATAAACTTTTATAGACGTTTTATCCCCGGAGCTGCTAAAGAACAGGCAACCCTCAACGACGTGCTGAAAGGTCCAAAGAAGAAAGGAAAAACGCCTATCACATGGACGACAGAACTGGAAGAAGCGTTCACCAGCTGTAAAAACAGCTTAGCTCGAGCAACACTACTAGCACATCCAGATCCAGCAGCAGAATTAGCGGTAACAACAGACGCCTCAGACACCGCAATCGGAGCTGTAGTCCAACAACGAGTAGACGGACAATGGCAGCCACTCGCGTTCCTAAGTAAAAAACTTAACAACGCACAAAAGCAGTA